ATGTGGTTTTCCTTGTTTGATCCATCTTACTTTCCTCTTTTCCTAGTGGAAGTGACTGTCCGTGGAGAAGTAAGTGTCTACCATTCATGATTTGAAATAGATTTTGGAATTTTTGGGTATCTCTTCTCTGCAACAACCAACAGAGATTTATCTGGCCTTTAGCTGTGGACGGTTTGGCTAAGTCCTGTTGTTGAGATAGGTTTCATTGCACTTGCCCGAGGCCAGACATCTTGAGCAAAATTGGTGGTACCTTCAGGTATAAGGCTGAGCCTATCCCAACCCATCTTTCTCAGAATTCCTCTGAGATATTTAACTCTTACACATACACTTTTTATATAGGAGAATGTAGTGTTTTGTGGATTGTTTTATTTGTGGATGTTGGTCATTGACTGTATTAAAGGTGCCTTGATTTGACTTTTTCTGGAGAGCAGTGGAATTCCCACACAAGTATGTTTCTGGCACTGTCGTTTTGTTGTTTGCCTTGTAGATCGATCCTACTACGGGGATGGTGATCAACCTCACTGACCTGAAAGACTACATGGAGGTAAAGGACACTGTTTTCATACTCATGGCCAAAAATAATCTAAAGTGTCCCATGTGTGGCGGGAAAAAGTGGGTGTCTAATACAAGATCAATCAAATGTGGGGGGAGGTGTATAGAGCACAACCTGAGGAATTCTGCTTCCCCTTGTAAATCAGTATAGGATAAGGGGGAGGTGGACGGGGCACTACAGACTCTCAAACTGGGACCAGTGATGGCTGGGGCCAGACCGATTACTTGACACACACACACACCCCAAGACCATGAGTTGAGGTCTTCCACCAGACCGATTACTTGACACACACACACACACACCAAGACCATGGATTGAGATGCTCTTCCCCCTGGAAGATGTTCTGAATGCTTTGCAAGACTTTGCAGTTTTCTATGCAAAGCAGAGCTCAATGACAGGGAAAAATAATTACTTATCAACACAATGTGTTCCCTGTGTGGTACAGTGGATAGAAAGACAGACTAGGACTCTGGAGAACAGGGTTCAAATTTGCGCTCAGCCATGGAAATGGATTTGGGGAGTGGAACTGGTAAAACCACTTCTTAAAGAGCTCATGAGTCCCCTGTTAAGAGTCGCTATAAGTCATTTCCAGCTTGACAGCACATAACAACGACATTATCTGGAAGTTGAGGGATGGAGTCGCTATAAGTCATTTCCAGCTTGACAACACATAACAACGACGACATTATCTGGACGTTGAGGGATGTATCAGGGATCTCCTACAGACTCTCCTCAGACGGAAGATGCAGCTTGGAGGAGTAGCAAAACGTTTCAACCTAACAAGAAAGAAGTCCAGTCGCCATGACTCAGCTTCCAGATAACCACACCTGGATGACTTGAGAATCTTCACAGAAACGACAACAAATTGATGTAATAGAAATCAACAGCCACTCTACCACCAGAGCAGGCTCTGCTCTTGTTGTGCAGGACAATTCATGGCCACCTTTTCTTCTCTCTGCCCGCAGGAAGCCATCATGGAACCTCTCGACCACAAGAACCTGGACAAGGACGTCCCCTACTTTGCTGATGTCGTAAGGTAGGGGACTCCCCGTGTGCCACAGTTAGCAAGGTCCCTTCCTGCCAAAAGCTGTCTTCAAAGTTCCTCTTTGCAAACTTGCCTTTCCATGCAAAACAGACCCAGAAAACGTTCCTCTGGTTTCTCCTCCAGTTTCTCAGCCCCTTGCACCATATTGTCTGCACACATATACACTTTCCTGTGTTGGCGAGGAGGGCTGGAAGTTTGTTCTTTTATACCTAATGGAGCCTCCATCCTCTACACCATACGGAAGGGTGTTTGCTTTTTTTTAATGTATGTGTCTATTTAATTCTGGGATAACGGGCTGTGGTGAGCAATGTGGGGCGTTAGTGTAGCATTTCTTAATTTTTGAGAGGTATTTGGAGGGTTTGTAGAATACCCTTGCATTCTTGTTATTCTGGGCTGTGTGCTTATATGGATCAAGGAATGCCACACTGTTTTGGTGGGAAATACGCCCTGATGTAATGTTGGTGCTGAGCTAGACCTTGGTGGCTTATGCTTGATTAAAGAGAGTTGCCCTTCCTAGGAAACAGTTTCATGTATGAATGTGAAGAAGCCTGCTTTGATCAAAGAAAATATTAAAAGGAGCATGGATGGAGGATAAAGGGTGTATCAACATAGCAGTCTTATACATAATTGACAATGATCCATAGAGGCAAACAGAAAGAGCAGGAGCAGCTTTGATGTAGATGTCAAAAATGTTAATTGGAAGGCCAAAATAACTTTTTTTAAGTCTTGCCATTTTCCTCACAGTACTACGGAGAATGTTGCCGTGTTCATCTGGGAAAACCTGCACAAACGCCTTCCTGAAGGAACTCTTTACAAAGTCAAGGTTTACGAAACAGACAAGAACATTGTGGTTTATAAAGGAGAGGCGTCTGTTCCGGGAAAATGAGATTTGAGTTGTTTGATGCCTTTGATCGAGAATGAAAAGAAAACAAAAGAACCAGTCAGTCATTCAGTGGATTTGGAATATATCTGACTTCCATAGCCATCAAATGTGTAGGAACACCTATCTCCAATAGATAATTAAAGAGAATAGCACAGGTTCATTTAAGCAAGAAGTGGATATGTTGTATTATTCATGAGGAGCTGCGGGTCTCCTCTTGAATCTGAGCCAATAGATTCTGAACCAAAGAATTCCCATTTTTGAGACATTGGGAAAGGTGCAGGTTCTGTGCCCCATCATGTCTCTTTCTGCTTTGATGGCCCAAGAGAAGATTAATAACCTTGAGTACACCTTTTACTTGCTCTGAAAAATCAAGATTACATCCTGTACCTGCTTTCCAGGTTCTCAGACAAACCCCATCCTCTTTTACCTGTCTTTTCAGCCTGAGATTGAATCTGAAGGTGATGGTGACTATGATGATTGTGATAGTTCTGTGATGTTTCCACTGTGGTGTTAGAACTGGTCTAGCTCACACTGAGCCATGAAACTCACTGGACAATGTTGGGCCAGCCACATACTGCCTCAGTGTGACCTTCTTCATAGGCCTGCTGCATATGATGATTGTGATAGTTCTGTGATGTTTTCACTGTGGTGTTAGACTAGAACTGGGAAGATACAGGTTCTAGCTCACACTGAGCCATGAAATTCACCGGACAATGTTGGGCCGGCCACATACTGTTATAGTGTGACCTTCTTCATAGACCTGCTGTGAGGACCAGAGAAGGGTGGTGGTGGAAGAGCCATGTATCTCGCTGGAGGAAAACGAGGGATATGAATGTAACCAGTAATCAAATAAATGTATTTTTTTTCAACCACTAGTCACGAGATCTTGATATGTGTGTGTGGGAGGGGGGGGGAGGAGAGAGAATGATGAGAAATTAGAAAATATGATTGCTATTACATCAGAGTGCTTTTAAAAGTGGATGACCATAAGCTGTTAGTCTAGTGTGCTCTCTCTGCGAGTGCTCAGAGATAGGCCTCTGATTACAGCAGAGACAAACAGCAAAAGTGGACTGCTTTATCCAGGTCAGCAAATAAAATACTACGGCCAGGCTTCCAAGTATGGGAAAACATGTCCTGTGGCTGGACATCCTATTGTTGCGGTATGTGGGGCAATTATCCAGTACACACGATTGCAGAGGACCTCGAAAACTTTGATTCCAATCTGCCATCAGTCTGTAGCAAAGGGTTTACTTCCTGGGTGCTTCTGTGTGACTGCATAACAAGTAATCGTAATTACAGCCTGGCCCTCACAAAGAACCAGTTTTTCTCATAACTTGGACATTTGTCCTCCTGTTAACGCTGCCTGAGACCACCTTGGCTTTTTTACTTTTAGCAGCCACATCCTACTGCCAGCTCATCTTCCACATGTATAGAAGAGTTTCTTTTTCCCCCGTAGCCCACCTGCTACCTGAGAATGAGACTTTTTCAAACTGCTGTTCTCTCTTACCAAGCAAAGCATGACCTCTCAATTGAAAAAATGGCCCCTCTGAATCAATTGATTGGTTCCTCTACCCATCCCGTGGTCTTAGTTTTAATAAATACAGTAGTTCTTTCCTAGCTTGATCACATGGTAGGCAGCTGGTTTTTTTTTACTAACATTGTGGAGCTTCAGCAACTTATATAGAAGGCTTTTCCTGTCCTCTTGGCTTCAGCAATGGAGATTTCAAGGGTTCCAGGAGAAGCTGTGCAAGTGATAGCTCCTCGGAGGACAGCTACTTTTTCCAGGATAGACACATTTAGCGCTTCTCACAGGCTGGCCTGGTAACTTCCTTCCTAATCTTTATTTATCTACCTAGGCATGTGTTATTGTGCTTACCTATCCTGCCTTTCCTCTGAGCAGCTGAAGGGGGCATTCTTGCATAGTCCAGTCCATATTTTATCTTAACCACCACTTTACGAAGCGTTAGGCTGAGTTGGCTGACTAGTTCAAACTTGCAGTGGCTTAGTTCATGGCTAAGCAGGAAATTGGTCCTCATTTGGGGAGGACAGGCACAATCAAAGAGAGGCAAGCAAAGGAGAAGGCTGATTTGCATGTAAAGACATAGGCTAATTTATACGTAGAGATGCAAATTTAGAAATGATTTTTATAAGTTGAACAGCATTGTGACAGGCTTCACTCAAGAGAACCAGATGAGGACCAGGTGAACTGCATCTACCTGCTGGGGCCGCTGTCCATGGTGCTGCTCGCTGTGGATGGTTAAGGTTACAGGTTGTGATCACTCTCTTTTTGCTACTTTCTCTTTCAATTGCACTTCGCCTAGACAGTCCTTAAAACTGAGCCTGTCTTCAAAAGGAGGATTGACCTCAGGCAGCCCTGAAAATAGAGGACTGAGGAGGTGTGCCCACCCTAAGTCTAATGCTTACGCCAGGCTTACAGTTGAGCTGGAGGGAAAAAATTGTCCAACTCTGCTCAGAATTCCTAAATGTGGGTGGTGGAGCCTTTATTATTCAATGCCAGTATCCAGAAATGGGGAAAAATATGTTCCTGTCTCGTCCATACTGACCACAATAACGGGGTGTTCTCCTGTTCATTTTTGCAGCTATCGCACCTTGCAAATAAACTAATAGGAAGATTGAGGCAGCTGGTTCTGGAAGGTGATGGTGGATACCACAAAAGGATAGCATTTATTTAACTTATAAAAATTATATTTTATGGGGAGATGAGCCTGTGGGATTTTTCTGTCTGTCTTAGGCACCAAATAATTTGGTCGCTCAGATGGATCTTAATTTAACGGGTTGATGGGAAAGGGCCATCTGGCAGGAAAACATCTCAGATGAGCTCTGTGAACATTCTGAAGAACAACCTGGCTACGACTGCTTGAAAGCAGAGAAGGCAGTGGCACCATCTGGACAGGTTGTGGGCCAGTCACAACTTTGAAACTAACAGGAGAAGTGGGAAGTGTTGTGGATGCGGGGAAGAGAAGTCTGTCTGGTTTCTCTGGGAGAATGAGAGGGAGCGGCTTCCAAATTCACAGCCAGTACCTTCTCAGAGAGATTCCCCTCCAGAGGGTCTGGGAAGTGCAGCCAAGAGGGTGCATGGATGACACTGCACACTCCTTAAAGGTCTGCCGTAGATGGGACCAGAAGAGGCGTACAGAGGTCGTCCTAGGAACTGCTGGTGGACTAGGAGCTCCTCCAGACCACAGATCTGTTTTTCACTTGTTGCAGTAAAGAAAAGAGAGAACAAGCAGATCTGACTCTCATCCTGTGCTCATCCCTGCATCTCTTTCCTTTCAGCAAGTCACTGAGTGATGCAGAAAATAAGAAGCTGTTTGGGCCCTGCAGTCAGAGGCATGGGCACAATTATAAAGGTGAGAAGCCACATGACTTAATCTGTCCTGTTTATTTACAAGCTCAGTGGTTCCCAATCTTGGTTAATCCAGATGTGCTCGGACTGCAACTCCCAGAAATCTCAGCCGATACAGCTGGTGGGGAAGGCTTCTGGGAATTACAGTCCAAGAACATCTGGATTACCCAAGGTTGGGAACTCCTGCCTTGACTGGAAAGGAACTGAAAATGTCTACCAGTCCGTTGCACAAGTGGCTGAACCCTTTCGGGGTTGGCACAGAAAAGTACCTGGCATTTCTCTGCAAAACCATAAGCTCTGCACATTTCAATGGGTGATCTGGCCGTCTGGAGATCACGTGGAGCACTCTGCCAACAAAGCGATACACTCCACATGTGGAGTGTATCCAGTATCCAGGGATATTGGATACTGGTGTTAAACCCTTTTATTGTAAAATGAGCTTTTATGAATTATAGTCCACTTTATCAGCTGTGCAAAGTGCCTTTCAGGATTCAGAGATGTGTACAGTGGGTTCAACTGGAATAACAGGCACTTACTGTGCATCAAATGCATGCATTAATTGGTGTAACCTGATGCCAGGATGTCTGTATTATTAGCAGCATGAAATTTCTGAATGGAGAATTTTAAAAATAACCATTGTTACTATCAGAACTTTGTGCATCTAATTTCTCTCTGGTCTCATTATCTGCAGTTCCATCTCTAATTAGATGCTCCGTGCATTTCTGTTTTGAAGGACACTTTGTCCCTCTAATGAGGTGGGCTACAGTCCACAAAAAAAAGCACACTGTGAAAAAAACATTAGTTTTAAGATGTCACGGATCACTTGCTTCTTGCTTTTCCTTTATTGCAACAAACTAACAAGGCCACCCCTTTAGAAACTGCTTCAATAGGATGACTTAATGTTCACTGTCCAACCTTGGGTAAACCTGCCCATTTCTGCAGGCTGATGTTGAGAATGCAACCCTGCCCCGTTCTCGTTCCTGAAGATCAAGAAAAAGGCAGTCAGGATGATCTACAAGCTCCACTGATCTTGGACCATTAAGTGATGTGTCTGACTTGTCTTTTTGTGTGTTTTCCCCCCTCCTTTCTAGTTGTGGTGACTGTCCGTGGAGAAGTAAGTGAAGCAACAGCTGGTATGGAGAAGGTTTTGGGGGGGCAGTTGGATGCAACTGGGGACCACCTGGCATTAGCATGGGCCACAATTCAGAAACACTGCAGGAGGGGTGCCCACGTAATGAGGGTCAACTAGACATACTGTCTGGCCTCAGCACCATGCATGGGGCCCTTGAAATAACAGCAGCCATCTTACTGACATGACTCATTTAATGGAACTCCTCTCTAATCAATTGGCTTCTTCAATTCCTATGCCTTTCCTGCCTGTCAATTCTGAGCCGCCCCCTCGCTCTTTAATGTTGTAGGAAACTGCAGTAATCACTCGGAATCCCATGTACAGTTTTTGTTCTCCCAAAGTACTTGTCCATAGATTTCTGAGATGCTCACTTATATTCCTTCCAGATTGACCCCATGTCAGGAATGGTGGTGGATCTGACAGATTTGAAAGCCTACATGAAGGTAAAGGCACCTGCGTCTGCGGGGCTCCTCCATCGGGGAACCAGTGGCATGAAAAACGGGAACAGGCGTGAGAGATGCTTCTCTCCTCCTTCCTGCTCAACACCTTCTAGTCTTTTTCTTGCAAGAGAATGCCTGCTGGATCTTGAGAGACAAGCCTCGCCCCGTTTATTTTGACAGCAGATGGTAAACTATGACATCCACCATAGAACAAGTCTTAATAATTTCAGATCGCAATGCAGTGGTTTTCCACCACCACCACCCTGGGGAGACAGGAAGAGAGAGGAGGAAATTTTTTTGGTAGAAATGAGTATAAAGTAAGAATAGGCAAGCTTTGCTAGAAATGCTCATTTTCTCCAGCGTCACCTAAAAAATGGCTTCAAACGTGATATTGCTAGAAATGCTCATTTTCTCCAGCGTCCTGTTTTCCATGGTCACCTAAAAAATGGCTTCAGACGTGATGGAAGAATGACACCTCAGAGGAGTAATGCCTGTGGAGGTGGCATATCGCAGCCACTGACAAAACTTTCTTCTAATTGCCTTTTGAAGCCATCCATTATTTTATTTATTTATTTAAAATATTTTGCCCCACCTTTCTCCTTAGGTAAAGGTAATAGTTCCCCTTGACATTTAGTCCAGGTAAAGGTAATAGTTCCCCTTGACATTTAGGGAGTGGTGCTCATCCGCATTTCCAAGCTGTAGAGCCAGCGTTTGTCCATAGACAGTTTCCGTGGTCACGTGGCCAGCGCGACTAGACACGGGACACCGTGACCTTCCCACCAAGATGGTACCTATTTATCTCCTTAAAAGGACCCAGATTCGTAGCTGTCGCCAGGTCTTCTGTAAGTAGTGAGTTCTGTAAATTAATCCTTACAGAATTAACCGGCTTGGGTTCCTTTTGAGGAGAATTAATATTTTAAATGAATAAATAAATTCTGATGTGTGGAAGAGAAATAAAAGTGATGAGAGCCACTCTATTACACCACAAGTTGAAAGAGCTGAGATTAAGGCAAATGTCAAAGGAGAAATGACAAGCAGTATCCAGAGCTCTCGGCACACCTTGTGTATATGCTACAGCCAGAGATTTCTACATTTGTAACTTTGTGCTGAACATAAATCTCAGCCTTCTGAAATACATTGGGGGTTTCAAAAGTTTCCAATAACAAAAGCGAGTCTCTGCCTCTTATGCCCCCAAAATAGTTGTGAAAGTATTTGGTGAGATGTGCAAAAGTGGAGACATTGGGCCAGAGGTATTAACAATATTTTCTGCTGTCCGTGGCTAAACTTCCATTGCATTGCATTGCATTGCTCTGTGCTATGACTCTATGCTCCCTTCTACAAACAAATAATTACAGGTTTATTTCTTTATCCATGCTGAAGAATTAAATGACACAGTATGTAAGATTTGGTTTGCCATGGTACACAATTTTGGCTTCTCAACTCCATTTTGGGACAACTGTAGGGTTGTGTCAGCTCCTTTTGTTATTCATTTTATCCTCTTGGACACACACGACTTAAATAGATCTTCCTTTCTCCACCCAGCAGGCAATCACGAATCCCCTTGACAAAAAGCATTTGGATCAAGATGTCCCTTATTTTGCCAATGTTGCAAGGTAAGGAGATGGGACTTGGGAATGGTGGAAATTCAGCAGGGGTGGCACTATGTGTATGATTTAAGTCCCTTGTTAGCTATTTGCCAAGAGCTCATAACCTGTTTGAATTACCGGTCCCGACAAGGCTGCCTAGCATTTCCAAACATGTGCAGGCATTTCTTTAATTCAAGGAAGCTTTTTCATCCCAAAGCCTGAGCTTAGTTTCAGAAATGTTCTTTCTGAGGTGGGAATGAAAGTCACGAGCCTATTTTAACCTAAAATTCCAACAGCCATAAATGAAAGTCTCAGAAAATGCATTTCAACCGCTTAGAGCAAGGGGGGGGGACATAAAAGCTAGATATGGGATGATATAATAGGGAAAGAGGCATGAGTATATGGGGAACCTCAGAGGAGGCTGATTCAGGTGTCAGACCAGGTGAATTTGGCCCTCGGACCTGAGGTTCCCCACCGTACCTTCTTTCAACAAGGCCTTCAAATCATCCCGTCCCTTTGTCCTCTAAGTCGCATCCAAGAAAGACACAAGGGAGCCTAACGCCCTGCTTCCGTCTCCCACGTCTCCAGCACAACGGAGAACCTCGCTATGTTCATCTGGGAGAGTCTCCAGAAGCATTTGCCTGAGAACACTCTCCACAAAATAAAAGTCTATGAAATGGATGAGCTCAGCGTCACCTATAAAGGCGAAGCAGCATCTCCATCACCATGCCTGGGTGTATGCACAGTACGCGGATTCCCCGCAGAGGAACTGAATTCCCCGCATGAGAGAAGGAATTGAAGACTGGGATGGGAAACCAATGGTGCCATCCTGGCTTGGACAAATAGCAGTGATTATCATTTCCTGCTGCAGATCCAGCACTTTGTAAATACGTAACTCTTTACCTGGTCACCTGGGGTGAGTAAAAGTAGCCTCCAGGAAACCAAACAAGGAATTTGTTATCAAACCGCAATGCTTTTGTTGTTGTTTTTCTTTTAAAAGTCACAAATGATTACCAAAGGCATACAGCAGATAGACAGAAAGGTAAAAATAAAGTATGGACAATATTTGTGGACTTACTTCCAAGACTGCCTAATGAAGCCATCAATCTACTTGGGATGTCACCACGGGAAGGTGAGAGTTGCAACCGGAGTCACCACTGACAATATGCATGCATGTTGAGCAAAAAAGCAGGCCAGAAGAAGGTCGGAGGTAAATATCCCCAGGCACTCCGGCCATTCTGTGGTGCCCTTCAGACCCTGCTGCTCCTCTCCCTGTGTTTTTGTGCCTACGCCGGGCATGGACGTGGTGACAAGAGTGAGGGGATGAGGTCGTATAACCAATCCATAGTAGCGAACTACTTAATCAGTCCGAAAGAATTTGTTCTTTTCATAATTAACCTGATTCATTCTTAGCATGCCACTTCCTGGAGAGAAAATGCCTTTCTATTTTCCTGTACAAGTGAATGTTATATGAAAAGAGGTAGTGAAAGAGAAGTAAGTCATCCTCTATGATTTTTTGAGAATACCCTCCAATCGAAATGTGCAAAAGATTTTAGAGCAGGTCTGATAGCATTGTAAATACTTCTTAAAATGCATAAATACACCCAAGGGCTTCAATCACATTAGTTTAATACAGCAAAAATAAAGGCTATGTTATTAAATTTTCTCTATAATAAATCGCAATAGAGATAATCAATTAAAAAAATAGCAGAGAATAGAATGTTCATTTTAAAGATCACAATCCATGACAGCCTCCTCTAAATAAATCCTTTTTATCCGGGCTGTGTTCATCTATCTTTCACTGGCAAAACACATCCTAGTCACAAAGAAGTTTTTTCTCACGTTATCTCTACAGATTGAGGTTACTTATTCAGATCCCACTAGATCAATCAGGAAGCCAACACTTGTTAAGATTAAGCAATTCGCCAGAGGTCATGAGAAAGAACTCATGAAGATTATCAGGGAGCAGGTGTCTTCAGATCTCCTCCGCAGGTGGGGAGAGGCCGATGGAAACTTTTTTAACGTGGGACAAAAACCCCATGGAAGCCATAGGGGATCTGCACCGGCACTTCTGCCCGACCCAATTCCGTGAAATTCTTAGCATCCAGAATGAGCAGGAAACTGCCTTGATTCTGAAACAAGGACCAAAGACAATCAAGCGACAATGTGGATGGGCATGTTCTGTAGTTCTCTTCATCAGATGCAGAGAGTACCTGATTCTCTGTGTCTACTGCTGAGGCTCTGCTCCTTCCATCTGATGAAGCAGGCTGCAAAGCTTGAACACTTGTGCAAATAAAACTTGTTATTCTTTAAGATGCTACAAGACTCCCTGTTGGTTTTGTTGCAACAGATTAATGCCACTAATCCTTTGTAAGTCAGGAAGATGAAACGGAGAGAAATGCAGAAGCCATGCAAAGTTTTGACATTTTAAATCAGGGGTCCCCAACCTTGGGTCCGCAGATGTTCTTGGACTGCAACTCCCAGAAATCTTGGCCAGCAGATGTGGTGGTGGTGGTGAAGGCTTCTGGGAGTTGCAGTGCAAGAACACCTGGGTTACCTAAGGCTGGGAACTACTGTTTTAAAGAAAAATGTACTATCCTGCCATGTATGCCCATGTTCACTAGAGGGCATGATACAATTTGATTTCAGGAGTACAGTACAGGTACTCAGATTAATGTTGAAATGTGGACCATTTATCCAGGCTGTGAAAACTAAATTACCTGCTTGGGTGTGAGCACAACAGAGAGAATGATTCCGCTGTCTTCAGCAGCAGAGTTAGGTTCTGGCACAAACACGGGTTCAGAGGGATACCTTCCATCCTCTTTCCAAATCTAGTGGGAGGACAAAGGAAATGGAATGGGATATCTCTTGTTTGTCGCTTTTTAGGACTGGATTTCCCACACTTTATCCCGGGGGTGGGGGGGGAGGGAAACGACATCACAGAAAAGGAGAGGGACAGAGATTTACCTTCATCTCCTTGGTTTGTACGTCTGTTTTGATCAACGAGTCTCCAATTATATGCCCAAAGCCGCAGCCGTAGAAGTAGCGGTATTTCTTCCCATTGTAACGAGCATAGTTAATCTGGGGAAATTCCAGGCCTCCTTTTGCTTCAAGAGTCTCATTATGTAGACTTTCATAGGTGCACCAGATCTGGAAGAGGAATCAGCACACTTTTTATTAAAAAAAAACCCTGTCCTTCCAGGTCAACACGAGCTATTCTAATTCATAGTAGCTCTTTAGTGTCACACTCAGAGGAACCTTCTTTCCCATCATCAGCTTCTTGATCATTTCAGGATGAAAAGGACCAAATCTGGAAACGAGCAAAGAGGGACTCTCGACAACCGGACTATGGTTCCTCCTCTCAGTCTCTGGAGGCTGTTCCCCAAGGCATTGCTCAGAGGGGTAAGGGGGTTTTAGCATTTAAAAAAATAAATACATAAAGGCCCCCATCTCTGGGTACAGACTGGACAGGAGGGCAGCCTTCACCTATTCCACAGGTTTTCCTTCCGTTGTACAAAAGGGGAAGCCAAACCTTCTGGGGACACAAGAAGAGGAAAATCCATCTCCAGGTGCCTTGTTTGCCCTGAAGTTCAAATTTGGTCCGATATAGGAAAACAATCCCTAGGCTTACTTGTACTCAATATATGTGGTTTTATTTTTGTTTTGTTTGGGAAGAAGCGGCAAGTGGAGCAAGCTGGTGTGGAACGTAGCCACTTGCCCCACAGAAAAGCCTCCCAAGCACCCATCCGTACACAGAACACATGTACCTTCCCGTCAGCCTCCTTCACGGCTGTAGCAGATGTGTAGGACAGAGGGCTGAGATTCTGCCCCACTGGTTTCTTGGCGTCTACACTGAGCGGCAGAACGAAGCGCCGTGGATAGGGCCTTCCCATGGAATTATAGGCCTGTGTAAAGGAGACAAAAAGGGAACACACAAGGATGAAGGACACCCAACAGCCCTGGTCTGGCCACAGGGAGCACTTAGCTCCATGACTAAGATTCAGCATGTGGGGCATGGGACGAATGCCTGCGTTCATGTTTGGGTGTGGATTTTGACTGGCTAGGCCAAAAGTGGAGCGTTAGGGGTCTGTTTTATGCCTTGCCACCATGTTGTCCCCTTTTTTAATTCCACCTGTGAGCGTGGTGGCACAAATCCCATTTGCCAAGAAGGTAGGTGCCTGTGGAGAGAATTCATACATTTTGAGGCAGAGAAGTGCCAGCAATATTTCCAGTTTGATTAAATGTGAATACCTTGTCTGGTATGAACATGGAGAGCATTCACTGGATGGCAGAAGATTTTGGAGGAAAGAGCAGCATGAGATAGACAATAACGTGAGACATGATATACATCCACCTCCCTGTTTCTGTCTACATGTCTGACCACTGGGACATGAGAAACCGGGTGCTTCGTAAGTCCAGAATAACGACAGCCACTGATGAGCCTTTCCTTGCTTCTATACCCTTCTCACTGCCAAATGGCTTTGAATTCAGTATTGCATACGATCATGACAAGGTGCATTGCTACCTGGTCAAGGGCTTCCCCCGCCTTGTGGAGGTTCTGCAGACGGTAAACGTCAAGAGCTCCTCCTTGGTCGTGACAGCAGAGGTCAAGGACAATGCACCCTTCATCTTCAAAGGCATTGATTTGATGGAAAGAAAAGAAGGCTTTGCTGTACAATGGCACAGGCAGCACCTGTTCAAGGAAGAGGAGAAACACCTGTGAAAATCTTAGCCCTTTGGTGCCGCCCAGAAAATGTCTCACAGAACACCCTCTCGGAAAAAACGCCAATTATAGGAATGCTTTTTTGAAAAGAGGAACAGAATAATGAGTCTACAAGTCAGTCCCCTGCTTCCTAGCATATTCCTGGTACTGTGTATGGCCTAACTACGAGTTTACGTGGAAGAGGGATAAAGGAGTGATCCATGCGGTCACACGAAAGGCACCCTAAACCTGTCCAAAAATGACACATGGAGACAATGACACATGGAGAAGCTGACCCCCACACACACACACATCCCAAATCTCCACTAAACATAATTCGCCTGGGTAACTCTAGAGACGATTTTTGCAGGACCCACCCGGACTGTTTTTCACAGAATCTCACCACTCTAGCAAAAGAATAGCTTTAGAAGAGTTTGCTGCCAACCAATTAAAGCCATACTACATTGCTCTAGAGAAAAAGAGAGCACGGTGAACTTTTTTGAACATACAAACTGCCTTCCCAGATCAGCCCAAAGTCAATATAATCTGACTTTTTGTTTCCATGGATAGCCAGAGGCTTCTACAAGCTCACACGTAGGACGTGAAGGCAGTGAGGGTCTTGCCCGCTTGTGCTTTTGTTTTTAGTACTATTGCCGTTACCATTATTGCTGTCCTTTCTTTCCCCTCCATTATTATTGTTGTCACTGCAGCAGTTGTTGTTACCCACAGATAAAATCACAAATACAAAAGTTTAAATAACTTGGTAGTATCTTATGCAAGAACCACATTCTTGCAACTACATTTAAGACTAAGTACGCATCCTTAATATGGGTCCCCCAACAGGATCCTGTTGACCTGCTTGGCGACTGAACAGTTCTGCCAAACCTACGGCCCCAAAGCCAACTCTGGCCAGCTCCCAAATGCAAAAGATGTACCTGTCCAGTGATCTTGTTCACTACATGGAATCGAACATTTTTCTGAGGTTCCCAGCTGATCCCATCCAAAAAAGATCTCCCCATAGCCTTGGCCGCCATAAACTTCCACAGGGTCATTTTCAGAGGCTGCTCGAGAAAGATCACATAGTTCTCACTCATTCCTAGAAGGGAAAAGGGACAGCAATCTTTACACCAACCCTTGTCATAACATAACCAAGCCCTCCTTCCACATTTTATTTCATGGCCCAACACACTCCTGCCTTTATTCCATCAGCTTAACCAGTCCTGTCCAAGAGAATTTCAATGCGTCCAGTATAATGCCCTGAAATCTTAAAATATTATATTTATTTTACATATATTTATTTCAATCAGGACACTACATCCCAAGTCATTAGGGACATTAAGATTGGGCATGCTTTGTCCACTCGCTCTTGACAGGACGACCACCCAATCATGCACCCATTGCCATCTTGCATTTTCCTCCTAGTTCTACTCGGAAGCACAGGAGAGCCGCTCCATATCCACCCAAGTAGACAAATACCTTTAGGACTACTCTTCCAATTTCTTAAAAAAGGTCAGGACTTCATGTGGAAGAGCTCAGCACGTGTTCCATAGAAAGAGGCTCATAGGAACTCAGTGGCACAGACGGTTGAGTGAGACAAGGGATGAGGGAGAAGGAGAACTGGCTGCTGAAACAAAATGGCTGACAAGCCTCATTGGGGTGTTCTTCAAATGAACGGAGGGGAACGTGCTAGCCCTGCACTTCTCCACCCTCAGTTTCCTTGTGTGAACAAAGAAGGGTGTGAAGAGGGTCCCTGGGGAGGTGCTCCACATGAGCCAGAACCCTGGTTTTTTCCCCCCACATTTCAGTTCACATGGAACGCCTCCACAGAGAAAAGTGTTTCTCCTCTCCAAACCCACTGCTTTTCATGTGGGTAAAACAAGGAGGGAGGGTGGCAGGGCTCCCCCCTTTCTTTGTGTTGACTAAATACACCTAGGAACAGGTGAAGAGGGCTAGGGAAAGGCAGCCACACAAAGGGAAGAACAGCTCATTATCTGCACAGGTGTCTCTTCCTTATGAGCAGACGCACGTGGTCCATTGAAAAAGAGGGTAGCCCTCACCGAAGCTGTGGTAATAGGAGGGTCTCATCCTGTCTTCTGGCTCAATGGTGCACAACACTTTTGCACCTTCCAGGCTGGAGTCACTGGAGCCAGGCGTTTGTGGGGGAACACAGATGATGTTATAGTTGGAGCCTGGAAGAGAGAAAGCATATCCATCAGGAACAGTCCTGCCAGCAGCACAGCAGCAAGTGGTTCTGAACATGATGTGCCTAGAATCTCCAGAAAAGACAAATGGGAGCCTTCATCTTAACAATGGAGAGCTAGTTACACACTTCCCAGCACTCCCACTACTTTGATATCAGAAACAGGGGGAGAAAAGGCCAATGGATTAGGAAACATAGAAACTAGTGTGCTGTCATTCGTGGTATTTATTACTAATCCATATGGTACAGTATATCTGTGAATGTCTCTTCTTTCTAGTTAATATCCTGAAACGGCCTGCTTATTAAGCCACCTCCAGAAATCCCAGGAATCCAGGAAAATGCTAAGAGGGTTCTCCAAACAAGTCAAACAAGTATATCTCTCTCTCTGAGCCATCTGGCCTCACCATGTTTCCCATAGGAGTTGCCCATATTGTATGCCGTCCCGTCTGGGTCATAATGTGGGTGGGCAGTTGCTCCGTTCACTGCAATATACTTTTCCCAATTCACCTGCAAGTAAAAAGATGTTGACCTTGTTAGGGTCAGACTGGAAACTAATGGTTTACATATATGTTTTCAGTCTTGATGAACCAATAACTGCACAGAACCTTCAATTCTACCCTAAAAATGCTCCGGTCAAGTTTCTTCCTTCTGAGCCTCTCTCCCTTCATTTCCCAAAAACCTAAGAGCTGTGCTAGACCAGATGAAAGCAACATCCGCCCCAGCACATTGGTTTTTTTTCTTCCTGGTTGACCAGATGCCTTTGGCAAGATCAGAAATAAATCACATGAAAGCAACTGTCCTCTCCTGCCCATGGACACCAGTAACTGTCAACTGCTTCTTGACAGGATGGTTCTATGCACCTATTATGGCCATAAGAAAAATCCTTCAAGATCAGTCCAGATGACTACAGTGGCCAACCAGACACCCTCCTGCTCAGATTTGCAAGCAATTGGTGACTGGCTCAGAAGCATATCTTAGCTCAGTTCTACAGCACACGCTTTGCCTGCAAACAGCTCCAGGTTCAATTTGTGACATCCCAAAAGAATCCTCTAAAACTGCTGGGAATTCCTTGACCACTACTGCTGGTAAGAGCAGATAATAATGGATGAAAGGAAACAAATGACGACACATGATTGATTGATTGATTGATTGATTGATTGATTGATTTGATTTGATTTGATTTGATTTGATTTGATTTGATTTGATTTGATTTGATTTGATTTATATCCCACCCATTTGGTCTATTCGATAAAAGGCAACTTTTTTTTTTACCTTCCCTTTTGATTTAAGAGTTTCCAGATCCACTTTGTGCATTACGTTGGTCTCTGTGCTGGCATAATAGTCACCTTTGTAGACCGTAAAGTTGACACTGCAGTTGTCTGTTGGTTCTGCAATAAAAATGACACATGGGTGTGGCTTGCCGGAGGTGCTACAAAAACTTCAACCTCAGTGAAGTGACACAACAGGTTTGCATCAAATCCACCCACACACCCTGTTCACTGGGGTGGCAAAAATGCCTACAAAGGAACTGTTCCCTGTGTCCCTGTGCTAAACACTGCGCTTCAAAAAGTGCACCCTTCGGAGAAGGGAGTGGTGCCAGTCTGCTCAATTAACGGTAATCGTCATGAGATAATTGGTGGTTTTTTTTGTATCAATGAATGAAACCATCTCTTCTTATATCAACGTCTCCTTGCAAACAAATGAGTCACAGAGAAAAGTGATTCAGAATAATATGCGATACTTAGGTTCCCTAGATTTTTTTTTTTTACAGCCAGCTCCATATACCCAGCAGGAAACAAAAGTATGAAGGCATCTTGTAAGAGATCTCCCTGCCATTCCCCTGGTTATTTAATAATTAAGTTTCTATCTTTCCGCAAGAACTAAACCAAGACATCAAAAACCAATAAAATAATTTGATTTATTTCTGTTCCTATTTCTGCAAATCAAAAGGATATGTATTGATTTCTGGTTTGAAGTAAAAAATAGCAGGAATGGAGCTCAAGGGAATATAATAAAAGTCCAAGCAGCCGTTTGGCTAGGGGATTCTGGATTTTGTGGTCCAGAAAAGGGCACTTCTCCAGACTCTTGACTTCCATGACCTTTCCTTAAGCACCATATACGTAATTTTTAACCCCAACCAAACACTTACGTCTCTTGAACTACACAAATGGGAAATAACAATTTTCAGAACTGCAAAGAGATGGTAACAAATTGGGGTTGTGTGAGCGAGAGACAAAAAGTGTGCCGTCCTCCATGAGAGAACAGACTGAAGTGAACAAGGGCTGCGTCATGGGAGAGTTGATTAAAACTGAAGATACAGAGAGAGGGAGTAATAGAGCGGTGGAAGTGTTCCTAGCAGAAGGCAGGCAAAAGAATGAGGGGGATGAGTTAGATCTCTTGAGGTGGGATGAGATAAAAGAGGACAGGAGGAAGGAGGAGGGGCAGACAGAACGGGAAGACAGAGGGATGCAGATGGATGAAAGGGGGGAAGAAAGAGATGGATTGGCAAAGCTACTAAAAGACTTTCTGAATCTTATGACTGGCGGAGGACTGCTCCCTATCCCCACCGAAACAGGTAAGAGAGATAATTACAAGGCAGGAGTGGGGTGGAATTTGGGAAAAGCCTCTCTTACACAGGCTTCGGGGATGAAGGAGACCCACTTTGGTTTCAGCCCGTATCTCCCACGGTTAGAGGGGAAACACGTGAAGCATCTGTGCTGCGGGACAATATGCACAGTGCTGAGCGCTCCCGCACAGAACCAAGTTATGACCTGCATCCATGGAGCGAAGAACATGTAAAAGAAGATAAAAATGTTGACACAATTAAAGGGAAACGTTATAAGTTGTTGCCTGAGGTTGAACTGCTAGATCCGTTTGGTTTGGGGATTCCTGATGTTAAGCTTAATAAAGAACCATTTTTTGTACCTGCTGCTTCTTCTCCGTCTATTCTTCCCACCGAAACCCCGGGCCCGCCTCCACTTATGAAAGAATGCAATCACAGGTTGCAAGGATGAAGGGAACCATCCTGCCTGAGGGATTCTTCAAGTTCTGCCCAGGTCAACTGAGCTTCGTAGTGGAAGCCTATCCCTTTCTCATGTAGCTTCCGGCAAGAGATACAGGATGGTGTGCAACTTCAGCATTTGTCTAAGTAAAATACTAGCATTAAAGGCAGGGCATGGACACAGCCGATCTAAGAACAACACATACTTGGCATTTCGAACGTTGACATGAAGCGCTCAAAAACAGTCTTGCAAGGATCTGGCACGGCCATGGTTCCAAACTCAGCAATCATGATCCGGTTGTGCTTGCTGTTAGTCACGTAGGAATCGCTCCTTAGGAACTTGCTGCTGTACTTCACGATGCCATCTTCAATTTCGAACTTGTGTAACAGGGCCATGCCATCAAACCAGTGATTATACCTTCGATGGGAAAGGAGAAGCCAGGTCAAAGAAAAATAAAGGGATCTGTAGTCTCCTCGCTGCCCGATAACCAGGGATGTTGGCAAGTCTTTGGGTGCATCCCCCAAAGCCAAGTGTTTGGTACTAAGTGCTTTTTTCCACAGAAAAAAAGGGAGGGGAGGGTGGGCTCTGAGTCATGAAAAAAAGAAAGAAAGAGCTGAGCCACTGGTGCGACTTAAGACCCACTTGGCAGTGAGTTACACAACTTGATTCTCTATTTCTGCCCATAACAAATCCTCTCAGCTTTCTATATTCAGTCACACCGATTCAATTCATCTAAGCTACTGGAGGGTGTGCATGGAGTTACAGGATCAAAAAAAAAAAAATTTTTTTTGTAAAGGTGCTATAAAATTATTCATTGAAGACGCAGCAAGAGAAGGAGAATGCAGACGTCTGGGAGATGGCTCTGGAGAGGATTCACACAAGGGTTCTCCTCTTTACCCCTAGTAAGCTCGGCATCCGGGAGAGAATACAGAACGCAAACTGCAGGAATCCAAGGAACACTGAATTATAAATGTAGCTCATGAATAGCTAATAATAAACGGAGGGGTGGATGTGTCCGTGCGTTGCAGCCAAACCAACAAAGCCTCTTGTGACCGCATAAAGACTAACACATTTTGTTTGGCGTAAGCTTTGTAGACCTCCAGCCTAGCCACACCCCTCTTCGTTCTTACCAAAAAGAAATAGTATCCTTAGGTGTTGTAGTAAAATTTATCCCTTTCTTACACAACTCCTTGTCAAGGATAATGTTCTATAAAACATGCCCCTTTTCTTTATGTGACAGCATATCTGTGTTATACTTGCAACTTCTGGATGGCACTACAGTGAGATCTGAATGACCTACTCAATTTTCCCAGGTGGGGCAGCTGAGAACATTGGCCCTAAGAGAGGCACAGAAAGAGGAGACCAGAATCCAGTTGCTCTCCACCTTTGGAATAAAATCCTGCCCAAAATACACCTGGGAATTTTTAAGAGATCTTTGAAATCATGGCTATTTAGTGAGGCTTTCTCAGATATTATATCGACAGAGTGCAGTGCTGCTTAAAGTCCTTAAGTCAATTGCTCCGCCATCTTGTTTTTTTATTGTTTTCATAATTTCATCTTGTCTTTTCCCTAGTTTTAAGTTGATTGATATGTTTAATTTGATTTTGTATATTGTTCTGTTTGTGGATGTTATTTAAGGTGTTACGTGTTGTTTTATTATGTTGCGAACCACCCAGGTAGCCAGATGGGTGGTATAGAAATTGAATAATTAAATACCATATTTTTCGCACCATAAGACGCACTTTTTTCCCCACAAAACAGGGGGGTGGAAAGTCTGTGCGTCTTATGGAGCGAAGAAAACAGATTATATTTTCCTGTTTTCTTCTCCTAAAAAATTGGTGCATCTTATGGAAAGGTGTGTCTTATGGAGCGAAAAATACGGTAAATACTACACACTTTATTTAGAATTAATGATCATCCGCAAAACCGAGAGCCTCAACAATCAAAGAAACAAACAAGCCTTACTTGTCGTCCCCAAACTCAAACTTCCCTGGCCCATTCCTCAGCAGCCTGCCCTTGAGCCACTTGGGAACGTGGCCTTGAATCTTTGTGGGGATGACGTGAGGGGTCTCCTCCACACTGGAGAAAAATGGGGAGATGCATTCCAGGCCCTTCCGGTTGCTGAAGTTGGTGACTGCCTGTTGTTTCTGGCTCAGCACGAGGCTGTCTATAACTGGGGAGAGAAAACGGTAATGAGCAAGAAAGGAAGAGCATTTTTGGCCCCTGTATGCAGAGTTCTCGGGAAGGGGCTGATTGCCTTTTTCCTCCTTAAAAGAAAAACACTGTGCTTTTCTACAGCAAGGCAGGAACTCATATACAGCTTCAATTCCGCTTTGAAATTAGAAGCTTCTGTGGTGATTACTAGGCTAGTCAGGTGACCTTATGGCTATGGATTGGAAACAATCATTCCAGAAATCACAGTGAGGTATAAGAAAACCCCTGACATGTATTATTACATAAAATGCATTCAGGATAAACCCTACTCTTGAGTACAGAAGTCCTTTGAGATGATTTCCATGTGTGATATGCATAGTCCCAATTCATAATCATTAGAAAGAAGGAAAAATAATAATAATAATAATAATTTATTGTCATTGTAAGTATATACACATACAACGAAATTCACAATATTCAAATAATTCACCTTATTTGTTTGCTGCATTCAGCCAGCGCAGTTAACTAATAAATTTCTGCAGACTTGAGGTCTCCTTAGAAGTAGACATGAAGGCAAAACAGGCCTGTTGATTTGTATTACAACAGACTTTGGTTTTACAGTATATCCCGCCAAGATTTTCTTTTTTTAAGGTTGCTCTTCGTGCTTTTTGTTTATGTGCTTTATGTTTCTGTTGCAATTTTGATGGATTATATATGGACCTGAGAGATCATATTGAAGGGTAACCTAGATGTAGAAGACATATAAATGCATGAGAGAGAGAGAAAGCCTGGATCACTAAGATGACCGAGCAGCTAAAGACTTAAAGCAATTATCTCTTCAGCAGCTTCTCCTCTCCAAGGGCAATTAAATTCCGCTGAAATCCTGTCTAATACCCTGAATCCAATGCTCCTTTCTGTACTAACATGATGGGATGGAGGATGACGCTTTTAACAGGGTTGGCAAATATGGCAAATACGGAGGGAAGAGAAAACAGAGCTAAATGGCCGTCCAAGGTCAATTTACCAAAAGATTATCATTTTATTCCACTTCTGTAAGTTATCAGTCAGTATGTAAAATACTGGTTGCACCCTTGCCTTGAACATTATTCATAGAAGCAATTATTTTACTATGTGCCATCTTGTTTAGCCTCCTCTTGTCCAGCCAGCCAAGATGGATACTCTGAAATTTCATCCTACACCTCTAAGGATCAAGAAGCTAGCAGAAATCTACCTGCAGGATTAAAGTGCCTATTCTTTCAGGAGCTAAACTCGGGCAAAATAGCTCTAAAGCAAAAAAAATTAAATACACTGAGATTATCAATGAGAGTGTAACAGCATGAGATGGGAAGCTTCCAACATATTCCAATTAGGTATGAAATGTACTTCAGAGGAATTTCAAACCAACATAGCTCAGATTTTTAATTTGTATTTAAATTGGACATTCTTGCTTCTCAGATTTCAAATAATTGGATAGATGTGGATCTGGGAGATCAGAGTAGATCTATGTAAATAAAATGACTTCGTCATTGATTCTCTTGCTAATTTCAGTAAATCTGTTCAAAGCATTTCTAAGGGTGCAGTTACCCGATGAAACTTACTCAGGAGATGGATCAGGGGTTTTGAAGTTGGCATAAAGTCATGTGGTTTTCAATGTGTGCATCCTCTTGGGAATTTTTAAATCCATTTTTAAATTGTGCTGTATATCAGTTGAGTGGGCTACCTGGGCTTTTAGAATCATTGCATTTGAGGCTTTGTCCTATGCCTACTCACTCTCATGCTGGCTGCCTCTCTCAGTCACTAGCTGTTGCTGCTGTGGTGTTATTATTTTTTTAAACTTTTTATTTTATTTCTTGCAATCTGGCATAGTGCTAGTTCAGTATGACTGATAGAAAAAAATTAAAACAGATTAGACTGCAAGTTTTTCCTCCAGCCTCACTCACTCACTCACTCACACTCACTCACACACACACCACAGATGGAAGAGGATAGGGAGCAGGGAACCTGCAGCTGGGGCTGGCTAGAGGGAAGGCATGCTCAGGAGTGCAAAGAGAAACTGACATTAGAAATGGACAAGATTGGCAGCTTCTGGGCTGGAGAAGGAAGGAGCAATTTCCTCCACCCAACCTTCTCTCTCTCTCTCTGTTGGCTCTCTTTCCAGATTGGATGCAAGATTTTCCTGCAATCTGAAATCCACAATCCTGGCATTCATTACTTCACAAACTCCACAGACACAGTTTACACTAACAGGGGCATTCACATATGCCAAAACAATTTAAAATAAATTGGATTTCACAAGTGATTTAAACTAAAAGACCTTCTCGTGACTGAGTAAAATACCTCACTTTCCAATCAAAAACACCCTTCCCAGGCAAATAAAAGCACTGCTTTCCTGTGCATCATGTAGTCAGCATTTTTAAAATTTATTTCAAACATGTTAAACTCAATTGAAAAACATGGTTGTTGTTGTTCATGTATAATCAAGCCCTCAGTTAGCACCAACTCATAATATTGGGGGTTCCCCACCACCACCAATATTGTGATAATGCAACATGTCTATTTGATCTGTTGCTCTCAGATTTTTTTTTTATTTTCTTTGTAGAATGCCAGCCTGGTACATTCTGCAGTCTGTCTCTCCCACGTTGCCTGACAATGGTTTCTCTTTTCATTGTCTGCTGAAAGTTTGGTGTCCTCTGATTTACCTTAGTGGAGTGAATCCTGGTAGTTCATCATATTGCCCATGTCGGCAAAGTGTACCAATGGCAGGGAACCAGAACTACACTATTTCTTGGAGTCTCAACTGCTACCATTAAGCTCCCTCGAGGTCACAGTATTCGAAGCTTTAGCTGTGCTGAAGTAAGAAGTCACAGAAAATAGTGTAGCTATTGGACATGTCAATCTTTATTGCTGTTTGATCCAACTTCATCTTTCAGAAGGCAATGGAATATCTGGAAAGCTACATACTCAAACCATTGGCACTATAAACAGTCAGCTGTGGAGGCTATTTCTAAGGCACCTGGACAGTTGAGGAAGATTTAAAGACTTCAATTTTAAGCATCAAATGGCAGCTCTGTTTGGCTATTCTGCTTTTAACGTGGGTTAAGCTTGGGATAAAATGTCATCCTTTGTGACTTTTTTTTTTGTTAATTTTAGTTTATTGGTGAGGGTTGTAACACCAGTATGTGTGGAGTTGACTACTGGCATTTTTGTTAATTTGTTATTTGGAATTCTGTCTCTTCTTGGTTATTGTGAACTGATTTTGCTCCAACTAGCAAAATCAGTTAGTAACTAAACAGCTATAGAATGCTCAAAGCCTTACTTAGATTAATTTAATTTAAATTACCAAACTTAAATTAATTTTTAAATGACCCTTAATTGTATGGGTTTATTTTGCTTTATTGGCCTTTTTCTACACTGAAACTTGGGGTGGGTTAGTGTAGTTAATGAGGACCATCAAATGTACTGAAACATCAAATGTCACCCATTACCACTACAACCTTTTTTCATCATAGGCAGATTGCCCAAATTCACCCGTCTGGATGAGAGATTCCTGACAACTTTGATCCATCCAATATATTCTTGCAGGAGAAAAGCAGCAGCAATCTTGAGAACTGACTGCTGTCATGCTCTCTATATGGGGCTTACCCTGACAATGGTACAGAAGTTTCAGCAGGTTCAAAATGCAGCAGCCAGGTTGATCTCTGGGTCTAGGAGATTTGATCATATTTCCCCTATCCTAGCATACCTACTCTGCTTGCCTGTCCACTTTTAAGATGTTAGTGAGCTTGCTTTCAAGTTTTACAGAACTCATTCGCAGCCTGAACTTAAAAGAAAAAAGCAGGGATGTGGTATTTTTCTGAGCATTGATAAAAGGCATAGTGGAGGTCTTGTCTACAATAGTAATAGAAGCATTCTGCATCCTAATTTGAATTGTGCACAGTAGAAATGATATCATGTTGCACCAGATCATATTATGGCAATAGAGCAATGGCAATCTAAAAGCCATATTTATTGCTAACACTAATCAGCATATATCTTTGCAGGAGAAAGACAGCAGACATGAAGCAAAACGTGACAGTCCACATATTAGCAAAACTATCTCTAGTTTTAGATGAGGCACTAGATACAGAGTGTTATTTAAAAATGTTTTCATGATAAGCATTTGTAAGAGAGACATTTTGAATTATTGCTGCAATTAGGAGGAACATTTCCACAACTTCCACAAGTCTGTTGCAACTGAATACCCACAACTCTTGCTCACAAAGGATAATATGAGGGTAGAACAGTTTATGGAGATAAAATTAAATTGCTCAAGGCAAGCATCTGTTCTCATCAAAGCTACAATGTTGTAGCAGATGCTTATGTAACACAAGAGCTTGCTCTGACCAAGCACACTTAGTTCACTATTTATGGACAATTCCTTCATTGCTTTCCTCCTGAAAAACAAACAGATTATAGTAATTTCATGTCAAGGACTCATCAAAATAAGGACAGATTGTCTAAAAGAACATGATCTAATTGTGCCTTTAGGCAATGATGAGAACCTTCAGAAACTGAGCCCTCTTGATGCCTGTGAAAAGCCTGTTGCACAGGGTACGCACCATATTTTTAAATTTTTACAACATGGAAAGTAGGGGGCAAATTCAGTTAGATGTTTCATGCTTTGAAGAACGGTGCTTTTTAAAACATAGCTTGCTAATTGGCAGCTGTTTAGACATGCTTGCTATTTACTGACAGACCCAAATCTATGCTCTCTAAATTAGAGAACCCGTCACAAACAGCATCTGCCTTCTGAAAGATAATTGGATTCTTATCTTTCATGTAACAGGCAGAATTGCAAACAAACGTCTATATCCTGCAGCCCATCCAGATTCAAATGCTTTCAAAATTTTTAAAACATTCCCTATCAAGAGAATATTGAAATCTTACCTGGGATGTATTGAAGCAATGACCAAAGAAAAAGAGCCACATTCTTAGATAGGAGACTGATGAACGAAAGGATGTAGGAAAGCATCTGTGTGA